TCACGTTTCTTGTTTCCTATGGCCCTTGGCCCTGCTTGCCGTCTAGACGCCTATAAATCCCAAGTCTGTCTCATTCCTGGACGTCATTAATCCGTTTTAAACTCACAATCCCCCCAAGTCAGTGTTCAAACGTAGACTCTCCACGGTGGGCCTCTCGTCAGTCCCAAGGGCTTCGTGCTCCTCCTCCCCCCTCAGGGACTCGCTTCCCTTTGCACACTGAAGGGCACCGTGTGCACAGCTGCCCTAAGCCACCCCTCCGGCTCCGTGGCCAACGGTAGCGAATATGCCCCCCCAAAACATGCTGTGGGAGGTCAGAAACGGCTGCTGGAAAGTGTGCTGTGTTGCTGTGTTCCAGTTGTTTGAGCTGCGGCCTTTGGAAACCAGGGCGAGGGGGGCCAGGCTTGCCCTGGTCGCCCGCATCTGCCGTAAGGAAGCCCGTTGTCCTAAGTCTCCTCCCGAGTTCCTTCCACCTGGGAGGAAGCCGCACCACAGCCCGACGAGCTGTAGCACCACCTCTTTCAGGATCAGCCTCCCCAAGATGTGGAGACAGGCTTTCCCCACCCTGTGTCACCCTGGCGTGTGGCGGCGCTGGGTCGGGAGGCTTGGGTGGATGTTACTCTTTACGAATGCAGATGGTGTAGACTTAGGGACGTTCCAGATACAAGCTCTCACTGGAGAAAACCATCTCTAGTCAGAGCAAACAGCAGAAGCCAGGTTTCCTCGTGTCAAGTCACATCAGGTGTCATGTGAGGCCCCCTGCCCTCTCCTTGACACCCCAGGCCCTGTTTCATCCCTTAGCTCAGGATGTTATTCTAGAATTCAGTTATGAATTCCCATTTGCTGTGAAATCAGGTTCTTCTCTCCTGCGACTCTGCATGTCATTCCTGGATCTGCTCAGAGAGCCCAGAACCTCGTGCCCCACGTTGTCATTCCTCCCAGGCGGCCCTCGAGGCTCGCGCATCTTTCCTAAAAGTCCTTTACTGTCCCCTGAGAGGCCTCCTCCGGCCGGGCCTACCAAGCGGGTCCAGGCCGCGTTCTTAGGCGCCCCGGGGAATTGCTCCTCCTGCCCGTCCCTCTCCCGCGGGGGTGGTGGTGTTGGGGGGGGGGTGTTTGCTCGCAGCTGCACGTGACGCCGCGGGGTGGGGGGCGGGGGGGTAGTGTGGGGGGTGGAAATGGCTCGGGATGTCGCGGGGCGACGCCGCAGCGGGGGGAGCGGGAGGGTCGCGGGGGGCGGGGCGGGGGCGAAGGGCCTGGCACTAGAAGGGGGGACGCCAGGGGCTCTCCCTGCCGCGCGCTCGCGGTTCACCACGCGGTCCGACAGGCGGGAGTAGCGGGGCGGCGCGGGGCGGGGGGCGGGGGAGCCAGGGGGCGGGGGGGGGGGCGCCGTCCTGTCTGGAAGGGACAAGGGTGGGAAGGGCTCGGGCAAGGGGGGCGCCCAGCGCCACCGCAAGGTCCTGCGGGACGACATCCCAGGCCTCGCCAGCTCGCCATGGAAGGAGCCGTGTGCCCAGACGTGGAGGGCAGCGCCAGGGACTTGGGCCCGGGGCCGGGGAGTGCCCCGCAGGGCCGGGGGTGCGGTGAGCAGGCGTGGGGTGGGGTGGGGGGACCAGAAGGGGCCTTTCAGCTCCCCCTGCGCCGGTGTCCACCCAGCTCCCGCTTTAACTCCGGCCCTTTGGGTTTAGACTCTCGCAGTCTCACCAGCGTGTTCTCTGACCCTTCACCCCGCGCCCCGCCCGCGGAAGCCATTCGGGAGCCCTCAGGTGTGGCCGTGTCTCCCCGTGGTTTCAGGCTGCACCGCGGTAGACTCGCTTCCCACCTGCCACCTTCCTGCTCCGGAGCGCGACGCTAACACCGCGTGGTGAGGTGGCGTCCAGCGCGCTGTCGGCTGTGCGGGGCGTTCCCTCTGCGGTTTCCACATTTCCTGACCCCCTGACACCTGCCGTGACTGCCGGGGCCCCGCGTCCTCGTCCATGGTCCTCCCCGCCCGCCCGCGACCCCCGCCCCCGCCCCCCCGCGACCCCCGCCCCCGCCCCCCTCACAGAGTCACCCCCTCCCGCCTCCACGTGGCGTTCGGGACCCCCTGAAGCTGACCGTGAGAGGCCCAGCTGCCGGGGTCGTTCCCCTTCCTGCGGGGCTCACCCCGGCACCCCCGCCCGCGTCTCTCCCGGTCCCGCGGGGGCTCCGCCCGCGCCGCCCGCCGGGTCCCGCCGAGTCCTCCCGCGGGCGGAGGGCGGAGGGCGGGGGGCCGAGCCTCGCCGTCCCCTCGGAACGGGCCTGTCCCGCCACTTCCGCGCCCACGCCGTGTCTCCCTCTGCCGGGCGCCGGGGGTGCCCGCCCCGCCGCGCCCCTGCGTCACAGGTCCGAGGGCCGAGCCCGCCGCGGCCTCCGGGGCCTGCAGCGGGGGCCGGGCCGCGACGCCCGCCCGGGCCACGAGCGCTTTGCAGTGACCGGGCGCTGACGGGACGCTCCCGCGGCGGCTCCCGCGTCGCGGGTCTCAGGGGCGGGAGGGAAAAGCCGCAGGGAAACGGCGGCCACTGTCTTTTTATTTTATGTCGTGAACTGGCAGCTGCAGGGCAGTGGGCGGGGGCGGCCGAGGGAGGCGAGAGGGCCGGGCGGGCGAGGGCCCAGGGCGGGCGGGACGGGCCAGCCTGGCCGCAGCTCCCGGGCGTCCGGGCGGAGGGGCTGCCCCGGGGCCGCTACCTGCGCGTCAGGGACGGCGCGGACACCAGCTGCTGCTTGAGGAGAGCGAGTTCCTTCTGGAGCAGGACACACCGGGGACAGCTCTGCCCTTCGGGCGGCGCCGGCTCCCCTTCTGCGCCCGGGGGAGCTCCAGCGGCCCCTGGTCGTCGCAGGGAGCTGCGGGCCCCCCGGGCAGGAGGCCGCTCTGGCTGGGGGCCAAGGGCGGGGCGGGCGCGAGAGCGGGGGCGGCGGCCGGGGCGCTGTGGCCGGCGCTGGGGTCTCCGCGGTGCATGGCGGCCCAGGGAGCCCGCGGCGCAGGAGCCGGCCCTCTGGGGAGACAGGGGTGGGTGGAGTGAGCGGGCGCGCCACGCCGAGCCGCACGCGCCGTGGGCCGGTCACCGGCCGGCCTGCTCTGTCCGCGTGCGGGCGCGGGCCAGGCGCAGTGGGTGCTGTGCGGCCACGTCTCCGCCCACGCGCGGCCGGGGCTCCACCGCCTGCAGGTGGGCGACACTGGGGCCCTGTGTGAGCAGCGATGGCGGCTGCTGATTTGCCCCCAAACAAGGATCCACACAGCTCCGGCCACAGTGCGTTTGGGGGAACAGACTGGGGGTGCTGGCGGGGGCACAGCCGGGAGTCACTGTCCGTGGGAGCCGGCCAGTTAACCGGCGCGGGGCAGAGGCCCACGCGGGGCGGGGACGGTGAACGTGGACGCGCTCATGGAAACTGCCGGCGGGCCCCGGGTCTACCCAGAGGGCAGGCACCGGAGGGGGGCGGGCAGCGCCGTGGGCCTGAGCTGTACAGTGACGGGGACCCAGTTTCTTTCTCTCCCATTCCTGACTGGGTGCCGAGATGATGCTTCTGTCCTTCCCTCTGGAGATTCAGTCCGGGAGACGTTCTGGGTATGGGGGGTGCCTGGGCTGGCGGTGTGATCTTGGGGGCAGGCTGGGCTAGCGAGGACCCCCACAGGGACACCAACACGCAAGCTCCCGGTGTGTGCTCAGCGCTCCGGGGGGAGACACTCGGACAGGTCACTCTCCTCAGAGTCCCCAACCGTGAGCGAGGAAGCCCCGTGTGTGTGTGTGCACGGGCGCCCCGAAAGGTGGATGAGATACCGGGTGCCAAGGCGGTGGGTGCCCCACTCGCCTGTGAAGTCACCACACAACTCGGAGGGCAGACCCAGGCCCCAGGGGCCAGCAGGCCTGGCGAGCTCTGCAAATGGGGGGAGAGCCCACCGACCACGCGCTGCTCTCCCCTCTTCCGGCACATCTCATCAGAGGCAAAGTGGGAGCTTGAGCGCCCCATCTTCCTTCGCCCTAGCCCCTTCCTCCTGTGACACCCCGTGAAGCTGGGCTGTGTGCTTCCAACCTGTCACTGGGAGGGGGGAGACGAGACAGGCACCGCAGGCCCCGGCCTCCTCCAGACCCCATGCCGCCTTCGACCCCAACCCGGTGAGCGTGGGCTCCCCAAGACCCTGCTCCAAGCGCTCGGCGACGTCCAAGAGGCCCGGCCAGTTCACCCCCAGACGGTACAAGCCGCACCTCTAAGGCCTCCCCCCTCTTTTTACTAATGGTGGGGCGGGCACGCTCACACCCCGCCGCGGAGGGCCACGCCCGCCCGCCTGCTCCCCCTCCCCGGAAGCCGCACTGCTGAAGGGACGACGAGGTCTCTAGGGCGCCCCCCTTCACTGCCACCGGCCTTCCTGTCCCCACCCCCCGCTGCCCCCGCGGGCCGGGCCGACCGTTGGGCGGTGACTCCAGTTCCCGCGGTGCGGGGGAAAGGCCGGAGCCACCTAGCGCGGGTGGAGCCCCTGACCCGGGTCCGGGGAGCCTCCTTCTGGGTCGCGGCCGGGGACGGCCCGATGAGACCCCGCCCGGGAGGGCGGCCGAGGGGCCCGCAGACGCCCCGACCGTGGGCTTGGGCCGAGGAGCAGGGCGTGGGCGCTGCTTCTCCGCGGCCAGGGGCCCTGCCGTTACCTCTGAAAGTCCAAGGACCGGGAGGAGCGGGGGGCCGCCGACCTTCGCTGGGGCGTCAGCGGCGGCGGGGCCAGCGGGTCGCAGGCGTCGCGCGCCCCCAGTCAAGACTCGCCTGCCCTCGAGCCGCTCTCGGCCATGAGGAGCCCCGCCCACCCCCCCGCCGGACGACCCGCAGCTCTGGGCGACCGCGGAGGGAAAGGCCGCCCCGTGACGCTGAGCCCTTCCCCGGCCGTCTGGGCAGCGCAGAGCGCAGGGGAAGCCCGCGGGCCGAGCCGGCTCCCGCCACGCGCCCCCCCTCCCCGGGCCCTGCCCCGCGCCGGCGCTGCCGGCCCGCGCACAGCTCCTTCCGACTGCCCGTGTGGGTGGCTCTGAAAAGAGCCTTTGGGTGCGATGGGACGTCGGGCCGAGCGCGTCGTCTTTAGGCGCGCTCCCCGCGGATGCGGCGCGCCAGCTGGATGTCCTTGGGCATGATGGTGACGCGCTTGGCGTGGATGGCGCACAGGTTGGTGTCCTCGAACAGCCCCACCAGGTAGGCCTCGCTCGCCTCCTGCAGCGCCATGACGGCCGAGCTCTGGAAGCGCAGGTCGGTCTTGAAGTCCTGCGCGATCTCGCGCACCAGGCGCTGGAAGGGCAGCTTGCGGATGAGCAGCTCGGTGGACTTCTGGTAGCGGCGGATCTCGCGCAGCGCCACGGTGCCGGGCCGGTAGCGGTGCGGCTTCTTGACGCCGCCCGTGGCCGGCGCGCTCTTGCGGGCCGCCTTGGTGGCCAGCTGCTTGCGCGGGGCCTTGCCGCCGGTGGACTTACGGGCCGTCTGCTTCGTGCGGGCCATGGCGGACCGAGGCGACCGAGGAGCGGCGCGGCGCGGAGACGGGAACGAGCTCGCCGCCGGCCGCAGCCCTCTTTATAGGCCGCCTGCCCCCCGCCGGGGCGGGGCGAGAATTGAAAGTCCCGCGCTAGCCGCCCATTGGCCGCGGCGCCACGGCCCTCCGGCTCCGATTGGCTTTGGCGGCTCGGCCCGGGCCCCGCCCCCTCGCTCCCGCCCCTCCCGTTGGCCAAATCTCGGCCCGCGCCCGAGCGCCTCCGCCAGCCCGCCGCTCCTGGTTGGGGGGACGGTAGCCCCGCGAGCGGCGAGACCCCCCCCTTCCGTAGCGCGCCCTGCAGTCACGAGCGGAGTTTCCCCTTTGCGCGCCTCTCTCGGGGCGGAAAGTTTTGCCCGCCCGCCCGCCCGCCCGCCGCCCGCCGCCCGCTCACAGGAGTGGGCGGGCGCCCGCGGCTCGGCGCAGCCCGGCCGCCCTGCCGGCCCTGCGCCCGCCTCGCCCACCGGCGCGGGCCAGACCTAGGCCTGCCCCACGAGCGCATATTCTCTGCTTCCCCGCCCCCCTGACCCCCTCACGCCTAGCGGGGAGAGCGCACCCCACCATCCCGGGACGGGGCCCGCGGCCGTCCCATCTACTTCCTGCACACACGCGCCGGGAAGTAACGGGAGCGGGGCGCGGGCGGCCCCGCCGGCCACCGCCAGGGACAGACTCGCACGCGCGCTGACCGTAAACAGCTCCTTTATTGACGGGGTGGGTGGCTCTGAAAAGAGCCTTTGAGTTCGCGGGGGGGCCCGCCGGGGGCACGGGGCGCGGCGCCGCCTCACTTGCCCTTCGCCTTGTGGTGGCTCTCCGTCTTCTTGGGCAGCAGCACGGCCTGGATGTTGGGCAGCACGCCGCCCTGCGCGATCGTCACCTTGCCCAGCAGCTTGTTGAGCTCCTCGTCGTTGCGGATGGCCAGCTGCAGGTGGCGCGGGATGATGCGCGTCTTCTTGTTGTCGCGCGCCGCGTTGCCCGCCAGCTCCAGGATCTCGGCCGTCAGGTACTCCAGCACGGCCGCCATGTACACCGGCGCGCCCGCGCCCACCCGCTCGGCGTAGTTGCCCTTGCGCAGCAGGCGGTGCACACGCCCCACCGGGAACTGCAGCCCGGCGCGGGACGAGCGCGACTTGGCCTTGGCGCGGGCCTTGCCTCCCTGCTTGCCGCGACCAGACATCTCAGCGACGACCACCGCTCACAACTGCCGCGCGGCTGCCGGGAAAGTCGCCCTAAACGCCGCCGCTTCACCCTTTTATAGGCAGGATGGCGCTTGTGCACGGAGCGCTTTGATTGGCCAGGCCCCGGCTTTGTGCTCTCCACCAATAGGACGCCTCAGCCACGATCCGCTCATTTGCATAATCTCGCCCCCCGCGCACGGGCGCCGCGGAAAGCTCGCGAATCGCAGCGCGGCGCCCTCAGAACCCTCATTTGCGTACGCCCGCTATAAATACAGAAGCGCTTCCGGCCGCCCCGCTCGGCCTTCGCCTGCCCGCGATGCCCGAGCCGGACAAGTCTGCGCCCGCCCCTAGAAGGGCTCCCAGAAGGCCGTCACCAAGGCCCAGAAAAAGGACGGCACGATTTCATTTTGCCAAAGCGTATTCACACACCTAAGCACAGATCATCTTCCATTTTCGTTTGGAAATAGGGCTACGCCTAGGCAGACCATCGGAAATGTCCGGGGTATCCCTAGGCTGTGCTTGGTCGGGGGTACTGTTCAAGGGGCCTTCAGTGTCGGTGGGTATTATTGTAGCACCTGCACTGCTGCATTATATATTAATGCTGTGTTAGTGTTTTGACATTTGCTTGTTCTGCGTGAGAACCTTGACAAAAACATGAACATTTGGTGTCTCCAAGATTGTAGGACAGTTTCACTGCAGCTCTTGTATTTTGCATCTGTGAAAGAATAACTCAACTTTGCAAAGTACCATTAAATTTGGTAAGTTCATTTTCTGTTCTGAAGCATCTATTACATCCATGTGGAGAGAACCCCATAGAGAAACAAGTTTGCTTTTTATACCTAGAAAGTGTTTATTGCTGGTTCCTTTGCTTCCCCTCACAACTGTGCAAGTCCTCCCTAATACAGGGCAACAGCCCTTTCGCCGCAAACCCTCCCTCCCTGTGTAAGGTTTGCCCCTGAATATGATTAAACATTTCGTTTCTAATTCAGAAAGGACTTTGAAATGCTCGAGGTAGACCCCATTGTCGTGGGTAAATGCACTGGTTTGGGTTTGTTTCAGTGCTTGCGAACCCTTGGATTGTCTCAGGTAAGAATGAATAATGGTGTGATCTCTTGCAATCCTAAATTGGCTATTTTAACAGCAAGGAAACCAATTAGGTTATTTTGTGGGCTACAGTAATGATTTTGAAAGTCAGGTCTGTGAACCAGAAGCTACATCATGACCTAAGAATTTTAAATGAAATTTTCAGACCCCAGTAATCTGTTCACAAGGCATCTGGGCGGTCTTGACACTTAGTGAAGTGGAGGGGCCTCGCGTAGGCCGCCATGCTGGAGCAGGACACAGTGACCGTAATGGAGGTGGTGAGAAGTGCTGGGATTAGGATCATGTTTTGGAGATAAAATCGAACAGACCTTAGGAGCCGGCTGCAGAAACTTCTAGGTTTTACAAGCATGTGAAAAAATAGTGGTGCCGTTAGTGGAAGAAATAACTGGGAAGAGGTGTGGGATGGAGCAAAGAACAGTAATCCAGGTTCTGATTTAAAATCGAGTGTTTTGATATTCAAGTGGGCATGTGGAACTGGCAGTTTGAGAGGCATCTAGGGCCAGGGTGGATAACACAAAGTTACTCTTAAGGACCAGAAAAGAGGGGGTGGAGGCTATGTTCTGGGCCATGTGGGTCAACTGCCTGGCTGGGGAATGGAACTCACTGTGCAACAGGGTGGTCCCCAGTGGCGGACAATAACTTGATAGAGTGGAGACCTGACCCCTGCGCCACCAGGGAGGCTCAAGACTTTGTTTCTTATGTTTTATCGTGAAGTATAATTTAATAGTTGTAATCCTATCATGTATATTTTTTTACTTTGGCATTTTTTTTCCCAATAGTATCCTGATTTTCATTAATAATCTGCTTAATCCCTTATGTTAAGTCGTTCTCAAACTTGATAACCTGGGGAACTTCTAAAATATTGATAACCTGGGTAACACCTCCATATATTTTTTACTAACGCAGTTAGGGGTAGTGTCTGCACTTGGGAGGTTTAGAATAAAGCTCCCCAGGTGACTCTTAACAAGGCAGTCACAGTTGAGATACACCACCATCATCGCATGTTTTTCCCAGAAAACAGATTTTCCCCACAGTTCTTAGGGTTGACCTGCTCGGTTTAAAGGTAGCCCCATTCCCCTTTTTAGTTCATACTTGTAGACCAAACTAAGCACAAACATTCCAGAAACTGAGCAAGAGAATGTAGATTGCTTTTATCTTTGGGGAGAGAAGTTACTTTGATTTCAGGAGGCAGCAATAGGTGGAATATTTGTGTGAAGGCAGGAATGACTGATAGGTAATACTCAGGACAGCACAGCTGAGGGAGTGAATCATTCCTGGGCCATTCGTGGCGTCAGCCACCTTTGGAACCCTGCTGTACCTCAGACATCAAGTTAAGTCAGTTTATCTGGCAAACTTATATTTAGATGAGTTTGAATCTTAAAATATTGGAAAAAAACAATTTTTTAGAATAGAAGAAAATAATAGACCTTTCTGGGTCTCAAAGAGGCTAAATAGGGTAGAGAAGGAAAAACAGAGGTGCTCCAACTATGCATTTGGAGTAATGGCCAGTATTAAAAGCATTATTTGGCCAGGGCCAGAAATTAATATTATCAGGAAGGAATGTCTGGAGTAGAAAAAGCAAACCTGAAGTTTTATTAAAATTTAAAGGAAGTAACACTGTTCTTACAAATTTTAATAGTTGTATTAGTCTCAGGGCAGCCAAAACATAGTGCCACCAGCTAAATGCTTTAAAACAATAGGATTTATTCTTTCATTGCTCTGGAGCTGGACACCTGAAGTCAAGGTGTTGGCAGAGCCCTGTTCCTCCTAAGGCTTTTGAGAGTATCCTTGTATTTCAGCTTTTGGCTTGTGACAGTATATCTCAATTTTCTTTCTGTGTGTTTCTTTTCTTTCAAGGATAATTGTCATATTGTATTAGGATGTCACCCTAAAGATCTCATTTAAATAATGTGCAAAGACCCTTTTTCCAAGTAAGGCCACATTCTAAAGCACTGGGTTGTTAGATTTCAGTATCTCTTTGGGGGGTGGGGGTGGCAGGGGACAGCGGGGGACAACACTTCAGCTGATAGAGTAGCCCAAAACTGGTAGGCTGAATATGGTACCCAAAATTTTCACATTTAAATTCCTAGGTTTAATATTACCTTATATGACAAAGGCGGCTTTTCTGATGTGAATTTGAGGTAGGGAGATTATCTTGAATTATTTGGATCCTAAAAATAATCTCCAGGATACTTATGAGGTCAAGAGTTCAAGGGAGGAAGCAGGAATGGACATAGATCTTAAGTTGGTACTCTGCTGGCTATCCCAGAAAGGGAGGAAAGATTACATACAAAAGAGCAAAAATCAGGGGCCTTCCCGGTGCCGCAGTGGTTGAGCGCTGGACTGTGAGGCTGCTTGCAGCGCCGGTTCGGTCACAGGTGAGGGTCCCACATGGCACACAGATCTCTCCTGCCGTGCCTGCTACTCCCCTCAGCAGTGTTTTTCGTCAGTCTGTCAGTTCTGCTCCCTGCTGTGGCTCTGGTGAATTCTCTCATCCTCCCACGCTTCTGACTGTACCCAGTGCTTGCATTAATAAACACATAAATCTTAAAAAAAAAAAAAAAAAAGGCAAGAATCAGACTTTACAACCCTACCTTCTTTCTCTTCCCTGAATTCCAGATTCTCAAATGTTTTATTTGATTTCTAGTTGATATTTCCACTTGATTAGCTTACTAGGAGTAAGTTTTTGTGTAAAACAGTACTCTTGGGTTTCCCCCTCTAAGCCTACCCATCACTCATCTTCGTAAACAGCAGCTCTTTCCAAATGCTCAGTCCATAAGCTGCATTAAATCCGATTCCTGTCATAACCTACATTCAATCCACCAAATGTCATTTAAAATAAATACTGGGCCTCCCCTGGTGGTGCGGCCGTTGAGCGCTGGGCTGCGAAGCTGCCCACAACCTCTGTCTGCAACGCTGGTTCGATCCCCGGGCGCCAGGGAGGGTCCCACATGGTGTGCAGACCTCTCCTGTCGCGCCCGCTGCTCCCCTCAGCAGTGTATTTTGTCAGTCTGCCTGTTTTGCCTGTTCTGCCCGCCCCGCTCTGGCTCTGGTGAATTCTCTCACCCTCCCACGCTTCTGATTGTACCTAGTGCTTGTATAAGTAAATAAAAAAATAAATAAAATAAATACCTTGACAATAAATTACACCTTGACTACTTCTCACCACCCCCACTGCTACTACCACCTGTCTATCTCACTCCTGAGCTAAAATTACTGTAGACCCTTTGACAGCCTTCTCTTGTTCTACTACAGTCTATTCAACACAGTAGGATCCTGGGTAAGCTTTAAAAAAAAATTGTCTATTATTCCAATGCAACTCTTCAGAGTGCACTCCATTTGGAGTAACAAAAATTTTTTTCCATGGCCTACATGATTTCATCTTCAACTTACCCCTCTTATCTCACTGCCAAACTTTTCTCTGTTCATTGTGTCGCAGTCACATGGGTCTGGTGGTTTATTCTTTGAACTCCCCAAACTTGTGCTGAACACAGGGCATTTGACCTTGCTGTCTTCTGTTCTTTGAATACTCTCCTCCAAACTATATACTATAACTTGCACTGTCTTCCTTCAGGCCCATACTCAAATATTGAGTGAGCAGGACTTGGCGCATCTACTCTCTATACAGTCTTACTTCATGGCACAGTATCACCCCCTGAATATTATGCTGTTATTTCCTTAATTTGCTTACTGATCTTCACTATCCATTAACTAGAATGTAGCTGTATGTAGACAGAGACTTTACTGTTTACTGTTCTATCCCTACAATGTGCAGAGTCCTCTGCCCTCCCCCTTCCATTGTGGGAAGTGATGTGCACAAATAGTCATAATGGAGGTTGAACAAGATGTCAGTTCTGATTTATGGGACTGTGTGTGAGTGTTAATTTAGGTGTGAAGTGCAGGTTTACCCAAAATGTCCAGAGAAGCCTTTTTCCAACACAGGTCACTTGGCATGTGGAGTCAAGGTAAGTTCAGGGCCTATGGACTGCAGGAGAACCTGTTACCTTAAAAAAAAAAAAAATGCAGATTGTCTAGATTTAGGGACATCTCCAGAATTTTTTTTTTTTTTTTCCAAATCAGAGACACCTACCTGAAAGCAAAGCAAACATCTATACTCTCTGGCTGGGTCACGAGTTGCCCTCTACTCTCTCCAGGTTCCAGACCCGTCACATTTCCTTAGCTCAGGAATAAAAAGCCTACTTGTCTCATTTACTCTAGAATTTACAGTCATGCAAATTCTCCATATACATCACTAAGTTTTTTTTTCTTTTTCTCCTATCAATCTGATGTTAATTTGTTTGCTCAACTGTTATAGAGCAACCCCGATTTGGGACTGCCTTTTCCCCCTAACACAACCACCCAAGAAAAAAAGACCTAGGCGAGTGGGAGAATTTTTCCACCGTGTACCTACAGATGCTAAATGAACTGATGGGGAATACAGTTATATTATGAATCACTGTCTCCATCTTCCAAAATTAACTGATCTCTGCTTTCCAATCATATTTGGAGTCTTTAGTCCCAAATGCTGACAAATACCTCAACCACATATATTTACCCAAAATCCTACTGCCTCTTGAAATGTTTTCATTATATTCCTTACCCTGTAAACTCAATCTTTCACATTTTTTTTTTTTAAATAGAGGCATTTTTATTTATTTGTTTGTTTGTTCGTTTGTTTTGTTTATACAAGCACTGGGTACAGTCAGAAGCGCGGGAGGGTGAGAGAATTCACCAGAGCCAGAGCGGGGAGCAGAGCAGGCAGAAGGACCGAAGGACACTGCTGAGGGGAGCAGCGGGCGGCAGGAGAGGTCTGCGCGCCATGTGGGACCCTCCTCTGGTGGCCAGGGAGCAGCTGGGGATCGAACCGGCGCTGCAGAGGCTGCGGGCAGCTTCACAACCCAGCGCTTAACCGCTGCGCCACCGGGGAGGCCCAATCTTTCACATTTTCTTCCCTTTCACTCCCTTATCACTTGAACTTTTCAAGTTTCAGTATTTGCCTCATTTTCAGTGTACCCAGTAAAATGAAAAAAAAAAAAAAAAAAAATCAGAAAAATATTTTCTGGGCCTGAGCCATGGGGCAATGGGATGGATTTAGTAGAGCCAGAAAATAAATCATCCGGTTTTGATTGGGTAAATCAGCCAGTAGACAATAATTCTGAAAGATAGCATTTGTGATTTTGTGTAGATGCATAAGAAAAAAGTAAGGAGTAAAAGCAAAGGGGTGCTAGGACACTGTTGCAGTGTGTTTAACACTTTTCTAGGAACTTTGTTTTTTGTGCCTTTACTTTAGTACTTTATGATCTGTCATTTGACCCCTTTAAATGTTTTTGAACTGATGTTTTAAGATAAAAACAAAGCCTTATGCTATATTTGAAATTCGGGATTACTGAGAGAATATAGTTTTGTATGAATATTACACACAATTCCTGAATGTCTTGAGGGAAAAGAAAATGTCTTGAGACCAGGGGTTACTGAAAACTGTACACAGGTTCTTAGGAGTGTAGCAGCTACATAGACAATGTCCGTGATTATCAAAATATGAATCACCTGATGTTTCTTCATCCTCTCCTCTCGCCCTCAGCGCCTCTATTTTGGGTTCAGTGGAAATATGTGCACTCTTAAGGACAGATTTCCGAGAGTAGTGGCCTTTGAACTGTTATTTAGGAAGCACAGCTTTTCTACCATCAAGTTTCTAAAAGTCTTTTTGTTCTAATTTGTAGTGCCTGTTTCCTGAAAATGTATTTCAGGGAAGGAACAAGTGTTTTTAAGGCTAACTAGTTTTCACCCTAAAGTTGTTGGTTATCTCCCAAAGATGTGTTAGAATTAGCAGTCCCAAGTTCTTAAGAAATCTCTGGTCATCTATAACCCCTTTCCTCTTCCTTCATCTAGAAAACCTATAAAAGGAAACTACTCCTCTGGTTACAAAATATAAAAATTTCCATAGATATCAATCCCTGTTCAGATTTACTATGGACAGACATCACTCTAGATAGGCACACTGCTCCATCTCAAAGTGTTAACATTCTTGATTTGAACAAGTGGGCATTCATTCAGTGTAACTTTAAGAAACGCCTAAGCATCGGACGCCTTCACTTAACAGCAGGAATACAGGGCAACCGAGTAAGAAATCAGCGTAAAAAAAATAAAGCAAAAACAACTCAGATACATACTGCAGGGGAGGAAGAACAGGGATCACAGCAAGGGAGGGAGGAGCACAGGCACAGTGGTGATGGTGCACGAGACTGAGGGGACTCCACCTGAGGAGATGGGGAGGAAGCAAGTATTGTTGAAAAATTAACGGTGTAGAAATAAATTTAAAAGAACGTCCGACAGAGAAGTGTATGAGGCAAAACCTACTCAGACCCCAGTATCGTACTGCATCCGACATAACACTGTTTTTAATAAATGGTTACCAGAGGTTTAACTCACTCACCTAAGTGCCCGGTGTGCGGCACAATCCAGAGCCACCGCTAACTGCACGGGTTGTATTTACACCGAATTGCCACTTTCGCTAAGAGCAAGTTACCCATTGCGGAAAAGAACTAATCCAACACAAAATGCACCACCAGAGAAATTCGAGCGCTGGCCTGTCATGCCCAGCAAGCAGAAGACCCGCTGGCGTGGAGAGAAAGAAACTGAAAGGACAGGAGAGCCCCTGGCGGGGCGGGGCGGCTCTGAAAGCAGCCTGTGGGGCGCGGCCGAGCCCGGCGCGCGGGGCGCACTTGGCGGCGGCCTCGGTGCCCTCGGACACGGCGTGCTTGGCCAGCTCGCCGGGCAGCAGCAGGCGCACGGCCGTCTGGATCTCGCGCGACGTGATGGTCGAGCGCTTGTTGTAGTGCGCCAGGCGGGACGCCTCGCCCGCGATGCGCTCGAAGATGTCGTTGACGAAGGAGTTCATGATGCCCATGGCCTTGGACGAGATGCCCGTGTCGGGGTGCACCTGCTTCAGCACCTTGTACACGTAGATGGAGTAGCTCTCCTTGCGGCTGCGCTTGCGCTTCTTGCCGTCCTTTTTCTGGGCCTTGGTGACGGCCTTCTGAGAGCCCTTCTAGGGGCGGGCGCGGACTTGTCCGGCTCGGGCAACGCGGGCAGGCGAAGGCCGAGCGGGGCGGCCGGAAGCGCTTCTGTATTTATAGCGGGCGTACGCAAATGAGGGTTCTGAGGGCGCCGCGCTGCGATTCGCGAGCTTTCCGCGGCGCCCGTGCGCGGGGGGCGAGATTATGCAAATGAGCGGATCGTGGCTGAGGCGTCCTATTGGTGGAGAGCACAAAGCCAGGGCCTGGCCAATCAAAGCGCTCCGTGCACAAGCGCCATCCTGCCTATAAAAGGGTGAAGCGGCGGCGTTTAGGGCGACTCGCGCGGCAGTTGTGAGCGGTGATCGTCGCTGAGATGTCTGGTCGCGGCAAGCAGGGAGGCAAGGCCCGCGCCAAGGCCAAGTCGCGCTCGTCCCGCGCCGGGCTGCAGTTCCCGGTGGGGCGTGTGCACCGCCTGCTGCGCAAGGGCAACTACGCCGAGCGGGTGGGCGCGGGCGCGCCGGTGTACATGGCGGCCGTGCTGGAGTACCTGACGGCCGAGATCCTGGAGCTGGCGGGCAACGCGGCGCGCGACAACAAGAAGACGCGCATCATCCCGCGCCACCTGCAGCTGGCCATCCGCAACGACGAGGAGCTCAACAAGCTGCTGGGCAAGGTGACGATCGCGCAGGGCGGCGTGCTGCCCAACATCCAGGCCGTGCTGCTGCCCAAGAAGACGGAGAGCCACCACAAGGCGAAGGGCAAGTGAGGCGGCGCCGCGCCCCGTGCCCCCGGCGGGCCCCCGCGAACTCAAAGGCTCTTTTCAGAGCCACCCACCCTGTCAATAAAGGAGCTGTTTACGGTCAGCGCGCGTGCGAGTCTGTCCTGGCGGTGGCCGGCGGGGCCGCCCGCGCCCCGCTCCCGTTACTTCCCGGCGCGTGTGTGCAGGAAGTAGATGGGACGGCCGCGGGCCCCGTCCCGGGATGGTGGGGTGCGCTCTCCCCGCTAGGCGTGAGGGGGTCAGGGGGGCGGGGGAGCAGAGAACATGCGAGCGTGGGGCAGGCCTAGGTCGGGCCCGCGCCGGTGGGCGAGGCGGGCGCAGGGCCGGCAGGGCGGCCGGGCTGCGCCGAGCCGCGGGCGCCCGCCCACTCCTGTGAGCGCGGGGCGGGCGGGCAAAACTTTCCGCCCCGAGAGAGGCGCGCAAAGGGGAAACTCCGCTCGTGACTGCAGGGCGCGCTACGGAAGGGGGGCGTCTCGCCGCTCGCGGGGCTACCGTCCCCCCCCACCAGGAGCGGCGGGCTGGCGGAGGCGCTCGGGCGCGGGCCGAGGTTTGGCCAACGGGAGGGGCGGGAGCGAGGGGGCGGGGCCCGGGCCGAGCCGCCAGAGCCAGTCGGAGCCGGAGGGCCGTGGCGCCGCGGCCAATGGGCGGCTAGCGCGGGACTTTCAATTCTCGCCCCGCCCCGGCGGGGGGCAGGCGGCCTATAAAGAGGGCTGCGGCCGGCGGCGAGCTCGTTCCCGTCGCCGCGCCGCGCCGCTCCTCGGTCGCCTCGGTCCGCCATGGCCCGCACGAAGCAGACGGCCCGCAAGTCCACCGGCGGCAAGGCCCCGCGCAAGCAGCTGGCCACCAAGGCGGCCCGCAAGAGCGCGCCGGCCACGGGCGGCGTCAAGAAGCCGCACCGCTACCGGCCCGGCACCGTGGCGCTGCGCGAGATCCGCCGCTACCAGAAGTCCACCGAGCTGCTCATCCGCAAGCTGCCCTTCCAGCGCCTGGTGCGCGAGATCGCGCAGGACTTCAAGACCGACCTGCGCTTCCAGAGCTCGGCCGTCATGGCGCTGCAGGAGGCGAGCGAGGCCTACCTGGTGGGGCTGTTCGAGGACACCAACCTGTGCGCCATCCACGCCAAGCGCGTCACCATCATGCCCAAGGACATCCAGCTGGCGCGCCGCATCCGCGGGGAGCGCGCCTAAAGACGACGCGCTCGGCCCGACGTCCCATCGCACCCAAAGGCTCTTTTCAGAGCCACCCACACGGGCAGTCGGAAGGAGCTGTGCGCGGGCCGGCGGCGCCGGCGCGGGGCAGGGCCCGGGGAGGGGGGGCGCGTGGCGGGAGCCGGCTCGGCCCGCGGGCTTCCCCTGCGCTCTGCGCTGCCCAGACGGCCGGGGAAGGGCTCAGCGTCACGGGGCGGCCTTTCCCTCCGCGGTCGCCCAGAGCTGCGGGTCGTCCGGCGGGGGGGTGGGCGGGGCTCCTCATGGCCGAGAGCGGCTCGAGGGCAGGCGAGTCTTGACTGGGGGCGCGCGACGCCTGCGACCCGCTGGCCCCGCCGCCGCTGACGCCCCAGCGAAGGTCGGCGGCTCCCTGCTCTTCCCGGTCCTTGGACTTTCAGAGGTAACGGCAGGGCCCCTGGCCGCGGAGAAGCAGCGCCCACGCCCTGCTCCTCGGCCCAAGCCCACGGTCGGGGCGTCTGCGGGCCCCTCGGCCGCCCTCCCGGGCGGGGTCTCATCGGGGCCGTCCCCGGCCGCGACCCAGAAGGAGGCTCCCCGGACCCGGGTCAGGGGCTCCACCCGTGGACGAGGACGCCGCCCCCCCCCCCCGCAGTCATGGCAGGTGTCAGGAAATGTGGAATCCCCAGAGGGAACGCCCCGCACAGCAGCGCACTGAACGCCACCTCACCACACCCCCGTCCCCCCCTTCCCGGGCCCCGCGGCGTCACGCGCTGCTGCGAGCCAACGCCGCCGCGGAGAGGGCAGGGCCAAGCGGCCATTGGGGCGCGCGCTGGGCGTCCTCACCCCCACCCCTCTCCGCGGTCCCCAACGCCTCCCGCCGGAACCGTGGCCCCCGCCTCTGGCGCAGGTGTGCGGGCTGGGGGGCGCGGGGGGCGCGGGGAGATCGCCGGCCCCGGGGCTGGTGTCCTTTGCTGGAGCCGTGCGCCCCCGCTCGCGCAGGGGCAGTCAGAGCCCGCACAACCCGGCCTGCCCGGCCCGGGCCCCGCTCGCGACGACGCCAGCCCCGCTGCCGCCTCTACCGCGCAGAGCACGGAGCGAAGCTTCCAGAAAGGCCTGACGGCTGTTCTCTGCCCGGTCTGCTGAACGCCCCCGCGGGCCTGTGCTCGGCTCGGATCCCCACCCGGGTCCCCACGGAGGCACAGCCCGGACGCGGCCGAGCCTGCGGACCGAGTTTTGCCGAAGGACGAGCGCTGCCTCCGCGTCAGCCCGGGCCTGCCCGTGGGAGCGGCCTGGTCGGCGCCGGCTCCGTCCTTTTCCTGCGCTCCTGTGGGGGAATCCGCCCGCCACTGTGGTGGTTTCTGCGTCAGAAAGCAAGGGTGGATCTTTACTGAAAAGTCTTTTTTTTTTCTTTACTCATTTGTCTTGTTTCTTATGGTGCCGGGGACCAGCCTCCGGCAAAATGTTGTGTCAGGGGTTCCTGAAAGGATGAGACGGCCTAGGCCACACGTTAAGGGCTGAGGGGAACGGGATGAGGTAGTGAGGAGACACTGACACTGGACGGGGTGCAAGTATCTTCTGCCGAGAGGCTCAGCAGGTCTTTATTTATTCATTTTTAGTAAGCAAAAAACACATCATCGTGTATAAAATAGAAACAATTAGTGTATTATACTCCCATAGACTACTGGCTCCTACGGGTCTCAGCTAGACAGTAGCCTTCAAGGTTAATAGATAAAAAACCAGACCTAACACTAAAACTTATTATTTCAGCTAGACAATTACCTAAGACACTGGAGAGCCGCCAGGACATCCCTATCAGCTAAAGCCTTGGCATCAAAAGACTCTTCTATTCATATGGCCTTCAGCTGGAGACCAGCTGCTTCTCAGCTATCAGAACTTTTTCTACCTAGAAACTTCTTAACACAGTTAACTTCATTTAAAAACTTTCCTAAGAAACTTCTAAATAAAAAGGAACTTCTAAAAAAGCAAAAGAAGGACTTACTATGATAGTTGTGCTGGTTTGCTTGTCAGATATGTACAATAAATTGTCTCCCATTGTCAAGTGGGCCAAATTGTGTAGTAACTAATTTCTAAACAGGTAATTTTCTGTGCCAATTGCTTGCAGTCTACTGATACATATAATTTATTGCCTAATGTACTTTTCTGATAAATTTTTCTCTTTTTATGACCAAGAACAAAAAATAAAGGGATGTTAAATCTTCAGCCCCACGGTGTGAGGCACAAGGAATCTTCGGCCCCACAGTGTGAGGCCCTTTAGCTTCAGCCCCATGGTGTGAGGCCCTTTGAGCTTCGCTGCTTGCCAGTGTCTTATCGGGCTGAGGCATCAAGGCCTCCTGTAGCATTATGGCCCTTGGCCCTACTTGCCACTAGACGCCTATAAATCCCAAGTCTGTCACAATCCCCCCAAGTCAGTGTTCAAACGTAGACTCTCCACGGTGGGCCTCTCATCAGTGCCGAGGGCTTCGTGCTTCTTCTCCCCTCGCAGGGACTCGCTTCCCTTTGCACACTGAAGGGCACCGTGTGCACAGCCGCCCTAAGCCACCCCTCCGGCTCCGTGGCCAACGGTAGCGAACATGCCCCCCCAAAAACATGCTGTGGGAGGTCAGAAACCGCTGCTGGAAAGTGTGCTGCGTTGCTGTGTTCCAGTTGTTTGAGCTGCGGCCTTTGGAAACCAGCGCGAGGGGGGCCAGGCTTGCCCTGGTCGCCCGCATCTGCCCTAAGGAAGCCCTTTGTCCTAAGTCTCCTCCTGAGTTCCTTCCACCTGGGAGGAAGCCGCACCACAGCCCGACAAGCTGTAGCACCACCTCTTTCAGGATCAGCCTCCCCAAGATGTGGAGATAGGCTTTCCCCACCCTGTGTCACCCTGGCGTGTGGCGGCGCTCGGTCGGGAGGCTTGGGTGGATGTTACTCTTTACGAATGCAGATGGTGTAGACTTAGGGACGTTCCAGATACAAGCTCTCACTGGAGAAAACCATCTCTAGTAAGAGCAAACAGCATGAAGCCAGGTTTCCTCGTGTCAAGTCACATCAGGTGTCATGTGAGGCCCCCTGCCCTCTCCTTGACATCCCAGACCCTGTTTCATCCCTTAGCTCAGGATGTTACTCTAGAATTTAGAGTTATGTAAATTCTCCATATGAATATAATTATATTTGTTCTTTTTTTCATACTAATCTGTCTTATATCAATTTGTTGCTCTGCCAGCCCAAGAAGAACCCAGAGGTTGGGGAATCTTTTTCCCCCTGTGCTCCTATAACTTAATCTCTATTCTGTTACCAGCCAGCAAGAGCGGGTTCTTGTACTCCTCACTCAAAAATGAAATAAGGACTCGTAGGGACAGGATAGGGGACAGAGCAGGTTATATGTGATCCAAGCAGACCAGGTAAAGGAGAGTCCTGGAGCCCTCAGTGGCTTTCTCAGACTTTTATTGAGCTTTACATGTAGTGTGGCAAACAGGTACACGGCAGGCAGATGTGCCATCAAATCTTCACTCTGGCCTATTCTGGCTTTCTTTCTCCCTTTCTCTCTCCTGCCTCTTCTGCTTCTCTCCTTGACTATCTCCACACTCCTCCCATGACCCACAAAAGTAAACACAAGAATGTAACAACTGCAGTTGCCCCATCAAGCAGGGCATTCCTTATGGTGGGAGGGCAGAAAAGCCTGAAAAACCATTTACCCTACAGGACTGTAACCACAGCCTATGATTTTGAAGCTGAGATGTATTGAAGCGGTGGAGCAACAGAAAGTTCCAGGAAGACTTTAACGGTGAGTGTCTCCCTGAGGGACAACAGTCTCTCCCTATACAGGCCTCAAGGATCCTAACATAAGGGCTGATATTCCACGTGAGTGGGGGCAGAGAATTTTGGAGTAGCCTAGTGCAGCTGCAACAGGAGAACATGGTTTTTCATATGGAGAATGAAAAATTGGAGAAATTTCTGTGCAAATTCTACCCAGGGGCAGAGATCTTGATATTATAATGATAACAAGGTCAGATAAGTTCATAGTTCTTCTCAGTATGCTTCCGCCAACTGGGTCTGACTGATAAGTTGCAAGCCAGTAACTCTTCTGCTTAGTAGTTGCTGAACTGATGGCTACAACAAAGAAGTTCCTGGGGACAGAGAGTTAAGTAATGATTTGCTGTTAATTGTTAAGCAATGATTTATCTGCACTGTTGTTAGTGTTCTTGTTTGTTAGATACATTTTGTTAGATACATGCACATCGCAGAGGCTCCCCACCCCACCCCTCAATTCTGCCTTGGGTCATTCTCCCTGACACTAAAACCCATCTTTTCTGTCAGCCTTGTCTTGGGATTGATTAAACATGTTGTAATTTGGTTTTGCTTGTCGAAGGGTAGGTCCCCCTAAGATGTTCACAGCAAGCCTCTCTAAGAGTTGTCACTTTGGCATGTGGATTATTTTCAAGTGAGGTCAATGGAGGCCCTGAAGCCTCAGTCAAGAGAAACTTTTACCACTTCTTAACTTCTTAGAAGGATGAAAATTGAAGGTAGTGCCAAGAATTAGTAGTTTTATCAGAAACAATTATTTATCAGAGGAACCTATCTATATGGCAGGCCAAATGTCTAATCATAAGGCCTCTGGACTTCATCATATGAAAACCCAATTACCTATCCCATTCCTTAGTTCAGGATGTAGCTATATATAGAAATAGGTATAGATGTATAGAGATATAGATATAGATAAACCCTCATTTTGCCCATTGGCTTTAGAATCTACATTTATATAGTTTCTCCATAGTTATAGAATTAAATCTGTTCTTTCCCTCCTACTAATCTATCTTATGTCAATTTGATCACTTGACTAGCTGAAGAAGAAAGAACCTATAGGGATAGGGGGAAATTTCCTTTCTGTCACCATTACACTTTCTTTTTCACTAGTGTTTAAAAGCAGTCAAATGCAGGAAGTACTCATTTTCTAAACAAGTATTGAGTTTATGCTAAACATTGAACTACGATGTTAGTTCACACAAAAAAATGAAATCAGTCAGTCAGAATGGGGGAATATATAACATATGAAAGAGATGTACAATAATGTGATAATTCTGGAAAAGTTCTAAAGGGTCCAAAAAAGAGCAAGTGTGTTTCTTTGTAGTCAAGGAAAAGACAGACATTGTTGGTGTAGGGAGGAAATAGCTATACTGCAAGATTCTTTTGTCTGATCTAATAATTAAATTGATATAATACTGATTAACAAGATAAAAACAAAATTTCATTTCACGTAAAGGCAGCCCGCTTAGGCATGAGAGGTCTGAATGTTATAGGACAGGGAGAGGGTCAGCCCAAACCCTGCAAACCTGCCTATTCTAAATGGGTTCTGCCATCCGCCGCATCAACACAAAACATATGAGACTTTAACGGGAAGGAACTTTAATAAAACTAGGAAACAATACAGGTAAGGCAAAGAGTCTAGTTTCTAAATGAAGCACCCAAAGTTACCCATCCCCTCGTGGGTAAAAGTCCATCCATATGGGAATGGCGCAGAGCAAGGCCCCAAAGCCTGCCACAAGTCTAAAGCATCTTCCAGTGGGGACCTACAGCAAAGGGTCAGAAACTACCAGACAAGCCCGGAAGGAAAAGAGCAAAATCAACATCAAGATAAAAGCTGCCATTGTCACCTCCCCATGGGTCTCACCCCAGTCCACGACCAAAAGACAAGCACAGTTTCTTCACATGTCTCTAGGCTCCATGCGCCTCCTCCAGGTCTCCTGGCTCCATCCTGCTTCCTTCCTCAGTCTCTTCTGCAGCTTCTCCTCTCTGCTCAGCTCCACCCTCCCTTGGGTGGGGCAGGGAAACTCCCCCTTTCCTGGGGACCACCCTGTTACATGAAGACAAAAAAAGTAGAATGAGGTACATTTGCCATCCTGAGCTAAGGAATGGGATGGGGGCCTGGGGCCTCAAAAGGAGAGGCAGGCAATTCACATGATGCTAAGAGCAGAAGTTTGACAGTTAGATGCCTGCCCTGTAGTACACATGGGTAATAAAAAGTTATTTCTGATAATAACTTATATGGGCAAGGTCTCCTATCTAAATTCTTATAAGTAGTTAAGAGAGAGTCAAAAGTTTTCTTTTGAACGTGCAGGATCTTGATTGCCTTCAGCTCACAATAATCACATGATGAGCTGTCAGACCTTGGGGAGAACTGTTTTGAACCCCCCTCCACTTCTTTAAATAAAATCATGTTTTGACAACATTCACAGGACTATCACTAGATTGTTGAATGTGGAGACTAGGTGAAACTGAAGTAATGTGCATCTGAATTCTGTTATTAAAGGTGATTGCTATAGCAGCCCCACATAACAGAATTTTGTAGTCTGAGAACAGTTACCTATAACCCTTAAAAGCTTATTATTCTGCTTATCTTATTTAATTGTTTGCCTTGGAGTTAATATTTAAATTGTCATCTGTTTTCTGAAAAGTATAAATTCTTATATTAATTCTTTATTGTGCCAGAAGGCCCTTGGAATTGTCTTATTCTGTTACTGAGGGGTAGACCTTCAAAAGATATTCAGCTAGACACCTGAAAGATGTTCAGACCTGTGCCCCGCCCCCTGCACTTTGGCATGTAGATTATTTCCATCTGATGTCACTTGAGGACCTGCAGGTTCAAGAGTAATTTTTACCACTCCTTTAGCTACTGGGGAGAATTTGAAAATTAATGGTATTACCCACTATTGGGATTTTTGCCAGGAGTAATCTTTCTATATGGCAGAGAAAACACCTAATCACAGAATACCTGGTCCCTTTGTCATGAGCGCCCCCTCTGCTGGTCATGTGAGCCCCTACTTTCTCCCTGAAGCCTCAAACCTCTGTGTCCTTCCTTAGCTTAAAATATATCTTCTTCTTTGCCTTCTTGGCTTTCAAATATTTTCCATACATATATACTTGAATTTGTTCTTTTATGAACTTAGCAAATGAAAATTTGATTGCTAGACCTGAGAAGAATCCAAAAGGATAGAATATTTTTTCTTCTCCTTGACATTAAAAAGGTAAAACAAATCCCATGACTGTTGGATTCTAAATGAGTATAGAGTTTGAGAATTTTCTTCTTATTTATGTGAACGTGTCCATAAATGTGGTTAAGAGTGCAAACTTGGGGGGGGGGGAAGAACATTGTAAAAGAAATGGGGCACTTGTATGGGCTGCTTTGAAATGTATTCTGGACCCCAGAGGGTAGTTTCCTCCTCTGATGGGAGTAATTGAGTGGAGAAGTTTAAGAAACACTGGGTGATTTGAATGCATGGGAAAATTCTTCTATGTGTACTGTCAAAGCTGATGAAACTGAAAATCCATTATAATTTCATTCTTTTGCTTTACAATAATTTGCAGACCTTGTCACTCATCTGACACAAGCCAAAGTTTCTCTGAGACTCAATTTCCTTATTGTAAAATGAGGAAAATAACATCTATTAAATGAGAGAGTACATATAGAACAGTTTCAAAAGAAAGATCTTTTGAGTTGTGATGCATGAGATTACAGAGAAGTACTGGAAAGGGGAAATAGGGGACGGTATTAGAGTAAATCTTCTGCCCCGGCAAGTAACATTGATTTTAACCAATGAGATCAACAGTCTGGAAATTCCTAGCTTGTCTGGTCCAATCAAGACGAAGCTATGTCTATAAATAAGACTGCCTGAGGTTTCCCGAATAAAACCAGAGCGCTGTCATGGCCCGCACGAAGCAGACGGCCCGCAAGTCCACCGGCGGCAAGGCCCCGCGCAAGCAGTTGGCCACCAAGGCGGCCCGCAAGAGCGCGCCGGCCACGGGCGGCGTCAAGAAGCCGCACCGCTACCGGCCCGGCACCGTGGCGCTGCGCGAGATCCGCCGCTACCAGAAGTCCACCGAGCTGCTCATCCGCAAGCTGCCCTTCCAGCGCCTGGTGCGCGAGATCGCGCAGGACTTCAAGACCGACCTGCGCTTCCAGAGCTCGGCCGTCATGGCGCTGCAGGAGGCGAGCGAGGCCTACCTGGTGGGGCTGTTCGAGGACACCAACCTGTGCGCCATCCACGCCAAGCGCGTCACCATCATGCCCAAGGACATCCAGCTGGCGCGCCGCATCCGCGGGGAGCGCGCTTAGGGCGCACGTTGGGAGCAGGCGACCTAACGGCTCTTTTCAGAGCCGCCCACGTTTTCAAGAAGAGCAGCTGGCGCGAGTCTCCAAGCCCCGGGGTCCCGAGAGGAGAGGTCAGGGGGAGTTTGCACCTGGTGGGTGACGGGGTTATGGAATCAAAGCATGATCTTAGTCTGCTGGCGGTAAGAGAAGGGCCAAGTTCTAGGGCATTTGTCACAAGTCTTTGTAACCGGGGAAATGCTGCCAGCGCAAAGTTAAAACATCTGCATACATCAATTAACGATGCTTTTTCAAGGCCCTCAAGTGATGGCCGGGTATGGGAGTCTTCAACTGATCCCGCGGTTGTTAGAATTAAACTAAATACCGATCTCCCGGCAGCTGCCCGGAATTTTAACTAATAAAAAGGATGGGGGCGGGGAGGCCGAGTCCCGAGATAAAAGATCCCGAGGACGGGAGGGAGATGAGGAGCAGCTCCGTAAGAATTTTAAAGCTTTTTTGAGGCTCGTTTAAGTGATTGTATAAATTAGTTACTATCCTCGTTGCATAGTAAGGGCGGTGCAAGCCGGGATGCGGATGTGAGGAAAATAAGGACCTGGCGACATTCTGCTGTGGACTGACGGATTACTGCCCCAAAATCCAAGCGCAAACTCACAAATGTAGAATAAAACGATGCAAAAATGAAAGTTAACGTGTCCAGCTGCCGGTTCAGACCTCCCGGGTATACAAGTCTAACGGAAAGTGAAAAACACCCCAAAACAGGTGAAACTCCCTCTTCACGTAACTTCACATTCCGTTAATGAGAAGCGGAATATCTTGATTGGCCAACAAGACTTTTGATGTAATGGCCGCTAGGGAAGAGCGAGCTGAAGCTATTATTTACATAGGCTCCACCCCTCTCTGACGACACTGCTGGGAATTAACCAATAACAGCGCAGCACTGTGAGAGCCTTCATTTGCATACGGGCTCTATAAGTAGCGCGTGAGCGGCCCGCTGCCTCTTATTCACGATCGCTTCTGCTCGTGAGTCTACGCGCGCAAGATGCCGGACCCAGCAAAATCCGCTCCCGCTCCCAAGAAGGGCTCCAAGAAAGCCGTGACGAAAGTCCAGAAGAAGGACGGCAAGAAGCGCAAGCGCAGCCGCAAGGAGAGCTACTCGGTGTACGTGTACAAGGTGCTGAAGCAGGTGCACCCTGACACGGGCATCTCGTCCAAGGCCATGGGCATCATGAACTCCTTCGTCAACGACATCTTCGAGCGCATCGCGGGCGAGGCGTCCCGCCTGGCGCACTACAACAAGCGCTCGACCATCACGTCGCGCGAGATCCAGACGGCCGTGCGCCTGCTGCTGCCCGGCGAGCTGGCCAAGCACGCCGTGTCCGAGGGCACCAAGGCCGTCACCAAGTACACCAGCTCCAAGTAAGGGCGCGCCGGGGGCGAAAGAACATCTGCTTGAACCCAAAGGCTCTTTTCAGAGCCACTTCCATTGTCTGGAAAAGCTGCTGTGGCGCTTGCCGGGAGGGGGCTTGGTTCTCGGTGCCCTGGGGCGGGCCTGAGCGCGAGTAATGCCAGCTCCAGGCTGGGGTGGGGCCGGGGTGCAGAGCCCTCTGCCTGCTCAAAGAAGTGGAACCTGCCGTAGACCCGGGGTGCCACCTGGTGGGAGGCTCTTGCTGTGGCGAGAGGCTGCCGCGCGGGCGACCCACCCCCACCCCCTCGCACCCTCAATGGGAGTCGGGGTGCAGGCAGCGGAGAGGGCCCAGGGTGCTCTACCGCTGCTCTGACCCGAAATGCTCCAAAGGTTTCAAGGTGCTCGGTTCCTGTGCACACTTTTTTCACAAAACTTGTCTTTATATGCCTACCACAAACTCTCTAAAATCCCCATTTGCTATCTCTGGCTGGCTGGCTGTAAGCCCCGGCTTTGCCATCTTTCCTTCTAACCCAGTGGCTCGTCCCCAGGTTTTGCAGTATCTGGAGATCTTTTTCACTGTTCACACTCGGGCGTTCCGTGGGCAAAGGCTAGTGATGCCCCCAGGGCCCTGTGGACGCAGGACGGTTCCCACAACCATCCCAGATCTCAGTCCTTGTGCCGGGTCTGAGTGCCGGAAGCCCTCTGTTCTTCACGACCTGTTTCCGTGAAAACTTTCCTCACCAAGCTGCTGCTGCTGCTGTTCTTCACTTGGTGAAAGCTAAACAGTAGAGTCCTGTGTGTTCACACTCCAGAAAATGTTTTCTCCTGAGCAAGGATAAGGCACTGGGTCCTGTAAGACTTTGCCGGCTGTAAGCTTCGCCTTGGTGCTTGCTAAGCACATTTCCACGTGCCCTTCCTTAAGTTCCCTGATAAAATGAGGTTGGAGGTGGTTTTTAATCTTCTCAGGTGTATTTCTTAAAAATAGGTTTTAGGAAGCGTGATAACACGTGGGATGAATTTCTAAAGGCCTCTCAGTTCAAGACTTGCATAACTCCAGCTTAACCCTAACACAGGCTGGTGTTTTAGCAAATAAGCGTTGGGGCAATAGGAAAGTTCACAATTCAGTTGATAGTCAAGCTTTGAAATTAACTCATTCCTGGTGAATTTTGAGGAACTTCACATGACTGCTTAAAATGATTCTTACTAATTTATAACGTAGGTAGGAGTTTAAATTTATATCTAGCTAAGAGTTGCATAAAATTGCTGTCTGTGGTTTCTTCCCCTGGGAAATTAAGATTCTTAGCGAGTCATCTTTCCCTGGCCTTTTCCTGATGACTACCAGATAAAAAGTGAGGAAAAGATGACTCAACTGAGAATAAAATTTCCAGCAAAAGAAAAGAGCTTATATAAGCATATGTTGTGGTAGGAAAAGTTACTGAGAAAGCCAGGGTGGCTTGCTACCCAATCAAGCCTCAGAGCGTATAGTTACCCCCTTTTTGGATCATTTATTGAGGACTAGGACTTGAAGGTGCTCAAAACAGGCCACCCCAATATTCTCAGAACAGGCCTCCTTAGGAAGCCTCACTGGCACGCAGGTTATTTTGATTGGAGGTCAGCTGAGGCCCTGGAGGCTAAAGAGAAGCTCTTGCCCTTCCCCTAACTGGAGAAGGAATCATGAGCATTAGCTATCTGGAAGAATGAGGACTTGGGGGTAGTATCCAGATGGAGGATTATCTGTAGAAATGTCTTCTCTGAGAAATTCTAGTTGGCCCCTCCTCTGTGGAGCCCCAGGCCCTCGCCCCATCCCTTAGTTTAAACTCTTTTCTCCCCATTTGGAAATCTGAATCTTAATAATCTAAATACATTCTCTCAGTACAAATTACTGATGCTATTTTAATTATTCAGCTAACCTGAGAAGAACGGGTGGGGGGCATTTCCCTCTACAGTGCAACAGGACCACGTCACTCAAGGTCTTTTGAAATTGTTAAACCAATGACAGTCAGCTCACAAGCTATCATTGATAACCCACTGACTTGACTAAAGGCAGGCTTAAACCCCAACTCCTTATCCTGAAACTAAAGATCTGTCTGACCAAAAACTTCAACAACTTGAATTACTCATTTCCCCCAGTCTCCGGCTTAGCTAACATGTTCTCCTCACTGTTTGATGTGTTTCAGATGTCTCTTTTGTGTGGTTTTTCTGAGTTGTAGTCATACTCTCCCTATACTACTCAAAGCCAGTTCTTTAAAGCCTTGTTTTAATCACACTCAGAAGCCTTCAAATCAAATTCTAGGTCCCAAGGAAGTCTTTCTCCTTTTAAATCCTCCAGGCTTTGTTCCTTGCACAAGGAATTCACAATGAAGTGTGGATTGTTTAGCACTGCTCCTCAGTTTCTTTTTCATTCTTTTTACATTTTTTTGGTGTATGTTTGTCTTCTACTAGAGGGCAGACTCTATTTTTTTTTTTTAATACTTCCTGGAATCTTCCAGTTGACTGTCCACCTTTCAGCACTAGACAGTTGGCCTGAGGGGGAAAGGTTGTAGCACCCCAATAAACTCCACCATTTCCCAAGTTTCTCTTAGTTCTATAATTTAGGACACTTCCATTCATATCTTATTGGCCCAGGAACTTACTTTCAAAACTATTCTCAATACTCCTGGGCACGAAATATGTGACTTTTCCACACCAAGCAGTCGTGATACTAACTACGTGGGGTTAAGGCTGATCCCACAGATTAAGGACTCGGTCCCATAAGACCAGCCCCATCTCAAACCCAATTGCAAACAGTGGATCTCCAGGTTACCCACCCTTCTGACCATCAGGCTACAGATAGGTTTTCCGTAATCCCCTACCCAGGTTCCATAATTTGCTACAGTGTTTTACAGAACTCAAGGAAACGTGTTCCCCATTTTATCATAAAGGATGCAGTTAAAGGATACAGAAAACAATCAGATGAAGGTCCAGAAGGGTCCAAAGTGCAGGAGCTTCTGTGTCCACAGAGTTGGGGTTTATCACCCTCCCTGCATGAGGATGTGTTCACCAACCTGCAAGTTTTCTGCAACCCCTAGTTTAAGGATTTTTGTGGCGATTTCAACACATGGCATGATGCTAACTCGTCTCCAGTCTCTCTTTCCTTCCTGAAGCATGGTCTGGGAAGAGGCTGCTGAAAGTCTCAGGCTTCTAATCATGATCCGGGCTTTCTGGTGACCTGATCCTATCTTAAAATTCTCCAGGAGCCCACCCAGTTCATTACAAAAAAGATGTCTCTATTACCCAAGAAATTCCAAGAGATTTAGGAGTTTTGTGTTAGAGGCCAAAACAGAACAAAAGACAATCCTAGCACCCATCACTTGGGAAATTACGAGTTTTAGATACTCTGTGTTCAGAACCAAGTGCAGAGGTCTAGTGTGTGTGTGTGTGTGTGTGTGTGTGAGAGAGAGAGAGAGAGAGATTATTGAAAGTGATAGTCTATCCCCTGGATGCTTAGAGCATGGGCCCCTTAGAGCAAACCAATTATAAAAGTGCAAGTAAACTGGCTGAGACGGCCTGTACTGTAGCCGGGATGAGCATTAGCTTTGAGTCCCAGCTTCCTCCTCCTTCCCCGAAAGCTATATGATCTTGGGAAAGTTTCTTTACCCCTTTGGACAGTAATTTCTTCCTCTGTGAAAAGAGAAAAATAATAGAACCTGTTTTCTTGGCTTGTTTCAGAGGTCGAATGAGATCATGTATTTAAAGCACTTACGACAGCAGCTAAAACATGGTAAATATTTGATCTGTGTTTTCCCATTCTCCTTCCGGAGGGAGGGCATGGGAACTATCATCGCTGTGCCCCTAGGTATGCTGCCTTTCCCAACAAGTGGTACTTTAAATAGATTTTTAGTGATTTGAGAGTCACCTCCCTATGAATCTTGCATTGGAGCAATAAAACCTTTCTAAAAAGCACCATCAAAGAGGCAATTAAGTTCCACAGTTTACTTGTAGGATCTCTGACCCTATAGAGCTTTCAAGTATCTGTTTTGTGTCCCAATACAAAGAAAATGAGTTAGAAAACAAAAGCGCTTAAGCATAGTGTCAGTTACTAGTGCGCTATAAAACCTATACAATCTTTGACAAATACCTTCTCTCCGCCTCTTTTTTTTTAAATCAGACGTTTGCAATACTTCCCAACAATGCTTTAGAAAAAAAGTGAAATGTTATCATTAGGTGCTTTTTTCCTATTCCTGATTTCTGAGTTGAAAGCTCTAAATGTTAAAGACTTAACACATGAGCAAGCCATAAGAATAAAAACCATTCAGGACACACAAATAGGCAGCACAGAGAAAAAAACACCTTAGAACCGAAAGGGGAACATGTAGATAACGTGGGAAATGTTTAAATTTGAAACAGGTTTGATGGAATTAGGTTGATGACCTCTGAGTCAATCATTTCTGCTTGTTAAATGATGTCATGTTTTTCTCCTCAGTAGTTTCACATGATGTGCCTGTTCCTGTTACCTGTTTAGGAACTAGTCTCCCCAAGAATATAAGGAAGGCTTTCTTACTATAGCACAAGGATGGTAAGTAAGTGACAGTCTTAAGACCTCAAGGTAACTGTTTATTTTGGTCAAGAGCTATTATACATAGGTGACATATTTGAAATCTTTCTACAAAAAATAGGCATGAAATTCTAGAGAGTAGCCACAGGACTTCGTTTCAGATGGACAAAGCCAGAAACAGATGATAAGGTAAAAGGATTAATAGAGCTTGGTAAGTTCTGTTGTGTTTTTGCCTTCAAGGATCCAAACCTGGCTTCTGGCCCACTGCCCAAAGGATGGTATTGGTTTGGGGTTGGTGAGAGAAAGAGAGAGACCTTGAATTAACTAATCCAAAAGTAGGAATTCTCGTGGTTAAAGATGGGGGATCCAGATTAGTGAAATGAGCAAATTATCTCCTTTGTTTCATATGCGAAAAGGCACTAACAATAAATTACCAGGCGGTAGGGGAAAATTCCTATCACTCTTTTGATATCTGTGTTTTTAACATTCAGGGGAACAGAATATACATGAACAATCAGCTTAATTTT